TTGGTTTTATAAGGACAAGGCATCATTACTCGTATACATGCATGAGGAATTCCGTGCTACTGCTCTAAGCGCATGCTCAAGGGGTCAAAAAGTGGGACCATGGGTTGTAAAAATTGCTATATTTTAATTGTATTTTTCTTTTTCAAGTACAATTTTCATTAAATATTCAAGAGCGAGTAGAATAAAGATAATTCCAAATCAAATATATTAAATCATAGCAATTTTTACAACTCATGATCCCACTTTTTGACTCCTTGAGTATGCGCTTAGAGCCGTAACGCGGAATTTCTGATGCATGTATTGCACTGATGAACCTAATCCACTTGAGCGAAATGTTTATTCCATTTTAGACCACGTATCACTCTCGAGTATAAGATTCTTTGTTTGAGTGCATCCATATTCATGTGTCTTCTCATGTGCAACCATTAAACAAAGAAATGATACTCTAGGGAATGACACTTGGTCTGAAATGGGAAAGCAGTGGATTAGGTCTATTCTGTAGAAGCCATGCTTTCCAAATACACCTAAGTCCAAAATGGCGCACGGCCCAGTGAGTCACATGAAAACAATGCATTACAGGCCAAATGCAAAAAAATAATATGGTATGTTATCAATTACAGTTACAATTACATTCAGGAACACAACAATTTTGCGGCGTCAAATTATAACAAAATACTGTAAGTTTAGCCCTGGATGCCTCATTTTCACTCGGCTGTGCGCTATTTTAGACTTACGTGATTTGGACGAGGTAACTGGTGCGTCCCTGACATTCGCCATTAGACGCAGGTAGATTGCGTGGTGTTAGTCTAGGCGTTTGAATGTAAATAAGCGCACATCACTGTGCAATGTCGTGGAAAGCATTGCTATACCGTCCCACTCAAACATTGGCCCAACCACTCTCGACCCAAGAGCCCTGTCATTCTTACTGTGAATGCATGAGGAAATGTCAGGGAATCTGGGAACCCCTAGCGTTTGGTACCCAGAAATGTGGCTGGTATGTCATACGCACGCTCGAATTTGAATTATAGCTAGAGCGCGCTGTGCTATGTTGGTCAGGCCGGCTCACCTTATTTGCACGTCCTTGGCTATTGTCAAGGTGTTTACTGTTTGTTCCATGTTATTGGATTTCTGGTAAACTTGTGCTAACAGTGTTAACAACTTCGCTTCACCCATCAAAGATGGCAGGTCACTTGCTGTCGATGAAGAAACACAAAGACATTAGTCACTCACTCGCTCTCGCACACTAAGTCAATCAGTCCATTAGTTGGGTTGGTCGGTCAGTCAGTCAGTTAGTAAGTCAGCTGGGTTGGTCAGTCATTCAGTCGAAAAGTCAGTCAATCGGGTTTTTTGGTTGCTTGTTCAGTTGCTCGGTCGGTCGGTAGACGGTCGGTCGGTCAGACAGTCAGTCAGAGAGTCTGTTAATCAGTCAGTCAGTCAGAGAGTCTGTTAGTCAGTCAGTCAGTCAGAGAGTCTGTTAGTCAGTCAGTCAGTCAGAGAGTCTGTTAATCAGTCAGTCAGTCAGAGAGTCTGTTAATCAGTCGTCGGTCAATCATGATCGGACAGTCAATCAGTGAGTCAGTAAGTAAGCTGGTCAGCCAGCCAGCCATTAATTAATTCTATATATTTTCATTTATTGATCCATTCACCCATCTATCCACTCATCGGTCAGTCATTTACCGCAATAAGACATTACTGGTCAAGGTACAAATAGAATCATTTTATGACATTAATAGTGGTTTTTACCTTTTTCAAATTCCAGTGCAGCCTTGATAACTTTTTCTGCTTTATCAAGATTGCGYAACTTAAGGTACAACTCTGCAAGATCATATCTTAAAAGACAAACACATATATCAGTATAAGCACAAGGTGCAGCTGTAGTGCGCAACGTTGTGCGAAGCAAGATTTTAAAGGTATGTTACAGGA